GCATGGGATACGCTGAAATATGCTTCAAGGAAGAAGTAAATGCAGCGAAACATGGAACTGCATTTCTACACTGTAACAGTAGTGGAAACGAMTTCTCGTGGTCCAAGAGTTCCGGCAGTTCAAATGGGAAAATAAAACTTCAAGATAAATTAGGAAAGTACACAATCTTTCCAAATAAAACACTGAAGATAGAAAATGTGACCTCGCTKGATGTCGGGGTTTATAATTGCCGCGTCACTGACCGCACATTAACCAATATTTTTGTCCAACTTGAAATGATCAATACCGAAACTATCATATCCGGTGTCAAGTCCAACGTGAACCTTACTTGCAAGGCTGACGTACCAAACAATCAGAAAATAACTGACGTGGTATACAAGTTTTATGCATTCCATTCGAACGGCTCTAAGATTCTGCTTAGCGAGAATGGAAAACTGATCAAGGGGAGCAAAAAATTTGTTGATGGTCTCGTGGCTATCGGCAGAAATGTATTGCAAATCAATGGAATAGAGAAAAGAACTGAAGGCAAGCTCCTTTGTACTGTCATATGGAAAAGTGAACATCAAAGGGGCCACTCTGAGTACTTCTTTAATGTCGCAGTATATGAAAAGAGCACAAAAAGCCCAACCTTGGAGAAAAAAGACGACCCTAAGGCAAAAGAATCCGGGAAGAAACTAAATTCCTGCGGGAAAAAGGAAAGGGGTATTTGGTGTCTTGCCGCGGCTCTGATGTTTATTTTCGTAGTAAAATGACACTAAGGAGGCGGCACTTAGATATTAGATATGAATAACCGYTTTAAAAATGTCTATCCATCACGAGGAAAATTAAATATAGCGCYTCAGTATTCCTTTCGTCTGATAGGTTTCTAAAGTTTGAAATATATTTTTTTGTTCAAAGTTGGACTTTATTACTWAAATCCGAAGCTTTCGGGTTGTTAGTCTGATATCGCCTTTACGAATGTCAAGCTACGCAATAAGATAACCAAAGTGTAACTATATAGGAAGCGTGTGCTGATCAAAAACAAACAACGCGCGAGAACTTGGGATTTTAGTAATAAAAGCCAAAGTAGAAGAAACAAAAAAAATCTCAAAGTTCATGAACCAACGTTTCTAAATATTCGGAACTGAAGCATATTAATAAGGTATAGTTATTTCACTTTTATTTGGAAGAAATATTTTAACTGCATGAATCGGGCCATATGTGCAATTCGTTACGCCGAGCAGTTAATTCTGAATCCAGACCCAGTCATTATTAGCTTAGTTAATTATATGATTACCGCAGAAAACCAAGGAAACTGTTTTGTTTTGTAAGTATGATTCAAAAATCTATACATAAATGAAAAAAGAAAAAAAGAAATAGGAAAAAAAGATAAAAATAATTTTAATAATAATAAATACAGGATATTTTATTAATGATTACAGTAACTGTASATAATTTGCTTTCCTTTGAAATTCAAATTAAGCTTTTATRAATACAAACTGAAACTAAATAGTATTCAAAATTCGTCTAYGCATACTTATATTAATAGATAAATATCGTACAAACAAAAACCAGTTTCGATAGGTAAGTATTGTACAGCCACTATATTTAAGGTCGTTTTTTATTTGTTTTAAATGGTTTGGACTTCTTTAGGTTATTTCAATTCAGTTATGAATAATACATTTCCTTTATGACGAAAAATGTTCATGATGTTCTTACTATATATATAACGTATTCAACTTTAAAACATTTATATAGAAAAAAAGATATTAATATAGGTCAGATTCTTCAAAATTTTGGATCAATTATATTGTAAATTGTAAATAATAAATACAAACTGAAACTAAATAGTGTTCAAAATTCGTCTATGCATACTTGTAAATTGTAAATAATAACCAGAAATCATAAATAATACTTGTTAATCATAAGACTGATTGAAATAAAGAACTTTTTTAATTAAAAATGCAAAGGGTTTTGAAGTGGGTAAATGGGAGACCGACAATACAATTCACTGGTCAGAGAGTTGAATGAGCAATAAGACTGGAAATCTTGAGAATCTCTATTTTCAATTCCTTTCCATAGCCAGTTATGTACACAACTCTATTCTACAGTGATTCTAATCTACCTTTTCATTTTCTTTGAAAAGCTTCTCTCTCTCGAATTACGAAAAAAAAAAGGAAAAAGGACTTTGTTTTGTTATTTTTTTATTTAAATTTAGCGCACCCACCCACATATTATTCTATAGCTGGGTGGTGCTCTGTCGTTGACTAAATACGCAGAAAAACCGGAATCAAACCGGAAAGACGCAATTGTTCCGTTTCTAACTGCGCCATTGACATGTTTTTGCACTTTGATTGTAATGAATACTGACTCTTGATGTTATTACAAAGATAAGAATGACTGACCTACTGTTTATTACTTTGTAATAAAAAAAAGAGAGAACATAAAATAACGAGTATAGTATATTTGTGGCGCTTTTTTTTCTGTTCAAAGAATTATTTCGCGAAACCTGTCATGACTCCGAAAATGAAAGCAGGTAATTTCCCCTAATCCCGTCGAGAGGTTTGCGCCTCGTGACTTGATGTCATTGATAAACATTTTATAAATGTCACGGTTTCTTTGTGTCAACAACGAAGAAATAAATAACGACACTATCGGTACTAAAATCTAAACATAGTTGACGACAGATTGAGTGATTGGCTAACAGTAAAAAAGACCCTCAAATCAGGAATTGCTTGTTTTTTARCAGCCAATAACGAGGCGCGCGTGACTTAAGGGGCTTCACCTGATCTACTTCAATGACTTGCAGTCGTGCATAAAAAATACTAACGGGGTATAGGAAGGGTCGAGCCAAGCAGCAGAGATAAAGTTTCTAAGAAAACGAGGAACTTGGACAGTTATTCTTAAATTAAGAAGAGTAATTGCAATCGAAGATTCTTCTATTGGACCTAAATTTACAGTTTTCGTAAAGGTAAGTCACTCGAAAGTTTTGATTATCTTATTAGAATTACAACGTTTTTGGTTCATCCGATAGGCTCGAAATCAGCTTTAAATGGTTGGATTTATTGACGCTTGCTTAGCTGAAAATACTTGCTAAATTGATTGTAAAACTATAAAACAACCCCAAGAAAATGAAAAAACTAAAGTTCAAAAACTTTTTGTTGCTTCAGTTTCTGGCATTCAAAAGAAAAACAGTTTCATTACATAAGCTTATGGGTAAAATCACCCATATTACGTKGTCACACGATTCTGGAAATGAGCAATTTACTCCTAAGATAAGAAAATAATTTTGCACCTCATTAACAAGTTCTTATTTCTAGTGCACGAAAATGATTAAGAGATCGATGTAAAGCACAAAAACGCTATAATTATATAGCAAACAACATTTGTAGCCTGATCAAAAGAGATGTTTTGCTACTTGTACCATTGTCAATAATATGTCGAAAAAAATGGTGTGTCTTTTTTGACCCCTTTTTGACAAAACGATATTCAAAACGGGCATAAGGTTAAAGGATTTCGTTTTTCGAGTTAATTGAYAGAATATTGCTCAAGGTAATCATGTTTCCATGTGTTAGTCCGGTCTGTYATAACCATCACTAGTGTTTTGTTTTGCTTGGTCTGAAAAAGCTTTGTCAGCTTCTTACACGTGCCTGTATGAGCGGAAGTCGTAAGGAAAATACCTATTACATATCAAATGAATTACGCAAGGGTATGGCAGTCATGCCACACATTAGCTGTTTTATTACTGCTCGATAAAAGATAAAATTTTAAAGCGAGATTTTCATTAATCGGCAACATGGAGCGCAATCATAACAATGACACAGCGAARGTTATTTATATTCTATTACGCACTTTGTTTTTCTTTTATGATTTCGTGTTTGTACGATCRAATCAAGCGCCTCAAAAGAATTTCCGCTGATGATGATACACAGGGAATGGAAAGGAAATCCATATCTTTTACCCTTGAGAAATCGATAAAAAGTCAAAAAGTTATCGCGCTCTGCGCCAAGCTGAGCAYCATATCACGTCTGCATGACAACTTCCTAAAATAATTTATTCTTGGTTAGAGTCGAAGACGTGCGCCAGCCATTCAGATATCAGGGGAAAAAATAGTAATAAAGAAATAAGCGTCGCCGGCAAAAAGTAAAGTATTGAGAAAAAAAAAACAAAAACAAAAACATTTCGCTAAGAAAGAAAGAAAATAGTCTCTTTTGATTTCTGTTATCATTTCACTTAACGAGCTAATTGTCTGGAGTTTGATAGCTTTTATTGTAAACAAAATACATCATCTAGCATGTAAACTTGCACGGATGAATATTAATCTCAGCATAAAAGACAATAGATGGAAGCATTTTGTAAATCTTATTAAGCTCCAGAAATGGACCCACAAAGTCATATGATTTCCTATATAAACATTATTATATTAAYTATTTCTAATAACATAAACTTTTTTTGGGTCAAAACAGGTTTTAATTGTTTCGTGAAAAAAATGACTTCAAAGGATGCATTGTTCATATTGGTACTATTATTGCTGTTTGGGATTGGCAGTAATCCACGAGGAGAGAAAATTGAAAAGGTTGTTAAAGTTTGTGAAAAAGAGACAGCCACTTTAGTTTGTGGAACTGAAGGACACAAAGCTTCATATCRGTGGAGGTTTGCTTCAAGAAGACAAGTTCCAATGAAAACTGATAAGTRTGAACAGTTGCAAAATGGAGCAATACTGTTGGTGAAAAATGTTGACCATTCTGATATTGCAAAAATAAAGTACATMAGCTGTCATACTCGCTCTGAAGAATATATGAGAAAAACTGTTTTATACAAAATTATGATCAATTGTGAAAACTTCCAGACTCCTGTTGGATCATCAGTTAGACTTCCTTGCAAAGTTAATATTCCAGATGATGAACTAGATTACATAAAATGGACCTTTATTCTTAAAAGGCATTCCATGACTAAAAGAATAAAGCTTTTCGGAAAAGATGGAAAAGCAACACTTGCTTCCATGGCATTTAATGGAAGGATTACTGTAGAGAATAAAACTTTGATAGTACAACACATCAAAATGGAGGATGTTGGTATATATCAGTGTGTAGCTTATCGCAAGAAGAATATTCACCAAAGCAATGGAATATATCACTATAATGTWAATGTTACAGCCAGAACAACAAGCAAGCCAATAGTTGTGGACACTACWGCTTCAACAGAGACAATTACCTCAAGTCCAAATATTAGTTATACAGTGGACCCTGCCAAGACAGTTACACCAAATACTTCATCCCAGCCTAAATTCACAACACCAAYAACTCTAGCAAGAAAAACAGTAAATATATCAACTGGAGGCATGCAGGTGGCAACAACTCCCACAACTTCTTCAAAGTCTACACAAAGTTCAGTAAAACAAACCAATGCTAGATCTACTGTTTYAACTACACTGACCCCAAGGCTAACTACAGCTTCATTGTCACACAAAGAACTAAATGTAAGTTCTACTAACAAGCCAAAGGACGTTTTGCCTACAACCTCAAACATAGTGAATTTAAATGAGACTCAAAAACGTGACGATAAAACTCCAAATGGATCTACCAGATCAGCTTTATCGAAGTGGCTTTTGGTATATTTGTTTCTTTTGTTCAATTTAGTAAATTCTTGAACACAGTAGTATACAGATCTAGACTAGCAAGTTACATCATTCAAGAATCTCAGATCATCAATCATTCAGCTCTAATTAGGTATACATGTGTACCCAACAATTTGTTGCTACAGTAAGCAAACTGTGAACTGTTTTGTATGATGATGATGACAACAAACTTAAATGTACATATTGTATATACCAGCCAAAGTAATAGAAGACATATTCTTCTGGTAAATRTATTTCAATAATGATTTGTAAACCAAATTTATATAAAAGCCTTCATTACCTAAATTTGTTAGTACATTTTTGATGTTTCAAAAAAATTAACATGCAATAATGTAGTTATTTGTTATATTTATTYTAGTTAAAGCTCTAAAGCTTTTTACTCATATTTTAGTTGGTTTTATGAATATATATACATATTATTTATCCAATTCAGTTGTGTAAATATTGTACATAGATAACAATCATGTATCTTCCATAAATCATTATGAAAATAAAAATAGGTTTATATACATATTTGTTATATTCGATTATATTAGATTTGTATACATATGATACTAGTCTTAAATCCCCCCCCCCCTCCCCTAAGTGGTTGAGCAATAATTCTCTATCCCCTCCATTCAAGATACCTTGGTTAAGGGTTTCTACAACTGCCAGCTGTTCAGCTGCATACAAAAGTCAAGGTCARTGTGAAAAAAACTAACAATACAGGAATAGGTTTTATGTGATTGGTCCAAGATGATCACCCATGCATGTGTGCACGTCATGAGAGATAAGTGTATCACAGCATTTCAAAGACATTCAAAATCTGCATGCTTCAATGAAAGCTGCATTTATATTTGGATATARATAATAAACAAATAAATAATATCTTGGTTCAGGGTTTCTACAACTGCCAGCTGTTCAGCTGCATACAAAAGTCAAGGTCAGTGTGAAAAAACTAACAATACAAAATAGGTTTTATGTGATTGGTCCAAGTTGATCACTTATGTATGGGTGCATGTCATGAGAGATAAGTGTATCACAGCATTTTAAAGACATTAAAAATCTGCATGCTTCAATGAAAGTCTGCATTTATAATTGGATATAAATAATTAGGGAAACCATAACTAGGGAGTTCCCATGAGATCATATTTACTAGAGGGGGAGGGRTGGTACAAAACAAGAAATGCATATATATTTACATTTCTTGACTCTGCCGTTATATTATGCCAGCAATATGTTAATATAGACATGTAGAATGCTCACCAGATAAAGAAAGTTAAAGATGCAAAACTTGATATGAATTTTGGCACATGAAAATGCTCACCATTGGAAGAGGGATTGTTTACCAATCTTCATTTTGCAGACCTCTTTTCAAATCCACAATATAGGCCTTTACAAGTTCCTAGTCGGAGTTAGAAATACTAATAATTAGAAGTGATAATTAAGATACAGCACAACAGAGGGTTAAGAAACAACTTACAAGATCTTATTGGTTGATCATCAAATTCCTACACCCCGTCTTCGGGATTTTTCTTCTAAACCTTGGGTCTCCTGAACCCAAATTCCTCAACATAAGGACTTCCTACTCCATATTAGATATCTCTTTTCACAAATCAATGAAATGATATTATTCAAATTATTAATTTTCAATATTTATCACGTTAGCTTTTATCTCTTTCAAATCTAAACTGGACTKAGGCTAAACCACAGGAAGCCCGATTTTATATACCTGCGCGTGCGCGCGTGTCAAATTCTAGTTATGGCGGGAAAACTGTTAACTTAGTTTTATGTTTATAAACATTCGTTTATGAGGGTTTAAAGCACTATTTATTTTCAAATAGAGTATATTTAAAGTTAAAAAATGTCCATATCCAGATTTTGGCCATTAGAAAGATTCTCGAGGTGTATTTCTATGTCAAGCACAGGCCAAAGCTCTCTGAGTCATCGAAATCCTGCAAACTGGAAGGTTTGTATTAGTTGTTGAGCCAAATATGTTAAGTTTAAATAACAGATAATTTGTATATAGTTCAAAATAGTACTTTTAAATTAGGAAAATTACATTATTTGGATTCCGAGATGTATCCAAACTGCTATGTAATTTGGAGAACTATTATTTAAACTTGTAAACCCGGGAACCCGCGAATCATCGACGGCTTGCAAAATTGGAGAATGAACAAAGCTTAATTATATATTAGATCTTATTTTATCAAATTTTCCTTTTTTTCATTTTCCCTTTTTATGTTTTTGCTTCTATGATTTAATGTATAATGTAATGTTATATATTCTAATGTGTTGGGGTAAATGATGGGGTGTCTGATCGTGATTTGGTATCACATCTCGGGGACTATGTAGACAAAACAAAATTAAAATCTGTTTATGAAATATAATTGGAAATTCCCTAGGGGTGGGACCCTTTTTCAAATTTCATMAATGGTTGGGTAGGGTAATTATCTGAAACCATATTTCAAAATAAATTATTTCTGCTTATTTCTCAGTCATCAGCATTTTCCACTTTTCTCTTGTTTCTTTTTTTTTTAATAGGAGATTTCAAAGGACAATAGCTCTGACCTTCAGATTTCCTATACAGATTCCAACCACCTTATCATTTCCTACATGTCCAAAGGACAAAACCAAATTCTCGTAAGTGAGCCAGAATGATAAAAAGTCTGRGATAAATTGAATATTTGTATGTTTGAATGAAAATAAAATTAATGTTTTAATAAGCATATGTATCTATTCATTTCTAGTGCAAAGTAAAAAATATTGGTCATTGATGTAGCYTAATTCCTTATTACTTGATTCTATTACACAGGAGAACTTTTCATTGTTTGAATCCAAAAAGTGGCTGAGAGCAGCAGTGAAAGGAGACAGTGTTCTTTTTATGTACAAACACAACGTAGGTATTAAGAATATAAATGACTAACTATTTAGATAAAGGGTAAAGATGAACCAAATGTCATGGGAGAACTTGATTTAAACAGGAAGTATCGCCTGGTACCAATACGTAAACCAATAATGTGTAGTTCCAGAAATCATCCCTACCCACCCCACAGAGGAATTTGGAATTTTCGAAGAGTGGGGGGGTCAGAGAAAAAACAAAAATTACAGAGTGTGTATGGAAGAAAATTGGAATTTCCAGGGGATAGGGGGTATGGATAATTTTTGGAACTACACAATAAAAATTTGGTAAATATCAGAGGACATGTTGCAGCCATTTTCACTGGAGCAATAGATTTTCCCACAAGCAGCCCCACATTCAAGGGTTTGATAATAAATTTATGTGGGTTTAAACATAGGTTTTTATTCCCATGAAAAAAATAAAAAATAAAATGACGGCAGTGTGAGTAAGGCCCATTGGTCTAAAAAATACCTTTCTTAGGTTGAGACTCTATCACTGCAGTCACAGATGGAAAGAAATATATACACCAAATAGATTAATGGTGTATCCACCCCAAATCCTACCAAAATTAACTATCAAAATCTATCTCCCTTATTACCAAGAAGTATTACCATGCAATGCATTTCCAAACAATGTAATTTTTAGGGCTACCTGTGGTATCTTACCACTGAATTGGATAACGGATTTTTGGGATTGGCTTGCCTACCTTCGTTACCAGACACTTAATCCTAAATTGCAGAAGGTTTGTAATTGTCTTATAGGGGTTTCAATAAAATCAAGATGGCCTAAAAAGGGGGTTYGTATTTCTCATTTAAGGAGGCTCATTTGTAGTTCAGGGATTTGGAACCACCCCTATTAATCGAACTTGCTATTTGGGTTTTAATAAAGGACTCGACTCGAAGATTCCGTATCAAATTTTCCACCACGTCATCGCAGTCCTCCACTGATTCGTGCCATGACTTTGTGTCTAAGATGTCCTTACACTTTGATGTAAGAGAGATTCCTGTAACGGAGGGAGAATCACAAATACCTATGGAAGATTCTCAAATGTTGACGTCATCGCAGCAAAGCGGTACATCAGATGACGTCACGGGAGCCGTAATGACCTTAACAGAAGTGGCAGGAAAGGTATTTCATATAAAAGCAAGTCCTGGAACAACCAAATGGTGGAATTGCGTTCATATCGGCTACGTATTACGCCAACTTGTGTTGACGATCGATGAATTGAGATGCGCAAACCGATCGATAATAGATAATTGCGACCGATTAATTTACCTGCTTTGAAATTTCTAAATCAATATTGCGTTCAGTTCTTATTTGCGATGGATTACATCCACTGGCATTGCGTTCGCTGTGATCGACCTCAAAATAACAAGCGCAGTTAGATACCATTATTGCAGTGCATTAACATGCCTTACTACGCAATCCTGCAATTATGGTTGACGCATGTTAATAACAATTGTACACATAAGGATTATTTATGCGTCATTATTCCGTCCCTTGGTGCGTGCGCTCGCTCACCTACGCACTTCTGCATAATACTTTATATTTAGAATGACCTGCTTTTCAGTAATAACTTTTAAGGCCTGTTGTTTGCAGTTGTAAAGCACGCAGGGTTTTACAGAACACAAGAGAAGTGTTGAGGAAAAGCATAACGTATAGCAGAAAGAAAGTGCTGTCTGCTCTAATAAAGCGCGCGCTATCAACCAATCAGCAATTATTTTATTCTTACAGCTATTTTATATATAAAGACAAGAGAAAATGAACTAAGAGAAGGAATTGCCCCTATATAGCCTTGTAACCATCGTTTTAGAATAGATTCTAAAAATAGCATCAAAGTGTGCACATGATGCAGGGCACGGGGAATCCTTCTCTTAGTTCATATATTCTCTTGATAAAGAACTATAATTAATTTTTCACCTCCTAGATCGCTTTTGATTTATGTTTCCTGTTTTCAGTCCACTAGAAGTTGCAGTAATGACTTCCCAAAGGCATACGAAAGTTCTAACATCCCAACATCTCGCCTTGGTTTATTCATGCGCTTATGCCTGACGGATTCGAATTTCCCTGCATTTGTTGAGGAAGTTGAGAAGGAACTGTTGGACCTTACATCAAAAAAGGCGTAGGTCTTCCACGTGGTAAGCAAAACTGGTTTTGTTGAAAAAATAATAATATGTTCTTGATTCGATGTTATTCTTTTAAAAAAATAACCTAAGACCATTAATTACCATTCTCCGGAATCGAGGTGGGTGTAACRATATCCATTTTCCCGCGTCAGAGTATAACCAATCATTCTTTGATAATATAATTAAATGACACGTTATATTATTACTGTCCCATTGCTGCGATCATGATCGTAATATATTCCCACTGAGAGTAATATGGGAAGTTGATCTCCGAGGCAGTTGTGAGCAAGTTGCTCASAGTGGGAAACAGGATTCATTGCAGCRGGGAGGTGGGTGGGGCGTCGATCCTGATGTGTATCAGTATACTCTTTCCGAACTGGTTCSAAGGGGTCTTACTGGAATATGGGTGGCTACTTATACCGTCTGGGCACATGATAATGTGAGATATGATCCCCTGAGACAGATAACTCTCGAGAATCCTGAAAATCGTGTGGTATTTGAGGYGTCGTGTGTAATCCTCCCAGTGGGAATAACTCTTTTTCCCAACAACAAAAAGAAAACTGAAAAATAGCTTACACCAGAGTTTAAAGTGGCTGACTACTTTTTATCAAAAACTCAAAAACTCGCGCGTAGGCATCCATCAAATGYTGATTATCTCGAAACAAGCTCGGGACACCCCATTTTTCTTTTCATATTTGGAATCAGCATTAAATTTCAGGTTAAAGAAGTTTCAATTTTCAATTTTCTGTTTATTCACAGTTTCCAAAGTAGTCGGCCACCTTAAGTAAACGTTGTAAAAAAACCTTGCRCGCGTCCTGTTGTTAACTATGATACTGTTTGTGATAAAAAGACTGACGATTATTCCGTGTTTATAACTTAAGTCAGTCATTCGAAAATATTCGATATTTGTGTTCTCTTTTTCCAATCAATATCTAGGAGTTGTTTCCTGTTTTCCCTGTCATTTTATATGCACCTGCAGCAAATAAATAGATTAAAATAATTTATAATATATTTTACTTTAAAGAATGACATTACTTTATCGCTCTCTTTCATCAAACGATAACAAATTGTTAATGCCAGCCTAGAACTATATTTATCATGACCCAGGTTATTCAGATATGGGATGGATAGATATAACCGAAAAACTATACTTTTACTTCTTTTACTAAGCGTTTTTACAGTAAAAAGTTTAAAGTTACCATTAGCAACTACTTTTTTTTGTTTGTTTCCATTGCACTATTTTCTATTACTTCAGTTTAGTTCATAGATCTTAAATCTTAATTTTTTTACAGTGTAATTTGAGTATCGTCTGGTGCGTTTTTCGCACTAAAAAACTTATGATAATTGCTATAAGCACCGTTTATTTCTTAGTCCCATTGCMACATTTTCTATAAATTCAGTCGCAAAGGATTGAGAAGTGAGAACATAAGAAATCCCATAGAATTTGCGCATTCGATCATGTTAGTAAACGGAAAATTCGCGCAGTACAAGTAATACACATTATCACTTAAATTATAATTTTTAATCCCAATGCTATTAATATTTGATGTAATATTGGCAATATATAGTTAATAGATAAGTTCTAGCCTCGTGGGTTTGCGTTTACATCCGGCTCTTTAAGTATGTCTACATTTCTTGACAAAAAGGCAATGGAACTTCAGATAAATGTTGGTGTTATAAAATAAATAAACCTGACATTTCCTTTTTTCTTTTCATTTTCTTTTATTTCCTTTCCATTCTCTCTTTTCTTTCCTGTTTCCTTTGCATTTCTATTTTCTCCTCTCCTTTCCCTTCCTTTCCTTTTCGATTCGTTTCTTTTCTTTCACATTTCATTTCTTTCTTTTCTTTTTTCTTTTCTTTTTTCTTTTTTTACTTAAAAACAGTTTACTCCCAAGACGGAGATAACAAAGTCTTCCTATGTAACCAAATATTGAATAAAGTTTTTGTTGAACAAATAAGCGGCAAATATACCATGCTATTAGAAAACGTTCATATGTGTACTAAAACCCATATTTACTTTCATTTGTCATAATTTCGTCCGCGGGAAAACAATTATAGGTCACCTGCCTCTCTATAGGGCAACTGTCTGTCCATAATGTTCATTTTCCCCGAATGGATTGATCAGTCATGGCACTAAACATTTCCAAGGGCTGTTTTTTTGACCCTGAGAACAGTTTATCGACAAAGGAGACGAAAATACTAATGGTTCTTAGCATATTGTCTTGTGTCTTGGCGATCATTGGAAATGGTATTATATTGTTTGTTGTCTACAAAAAAGAATCCTTCCAAAATACGTCCAACTTCTTTCTCTGTTCCCTTGCCGTTGCGGATCTTTTAATGGGACTTATTGGAAATCCAATCAGAACAGTCTTTCTTGGCATTAATCTTTGGACATCTAATAGAAACAGTCTGACAAAGTTCAATGATTTCCTTGCGTGCCAATTGCTTGTAGCCACTGCATTTAACCTGTGTGCTGTCAGCGTCGACAGGCTAGTAGCTGTGAAATGGCCCCTTCGTTATCCTACTATAATGACATCCAAAACCACTTTAAGGATCATCAAGTTGATTTGGTTGTCTTCCTTTGGTTTTGGAATACCCATGCTGATCTTTAACGATGGTAAAAATGCTTGCATTTACTGGCTCTTTATTTCGTTACTGACGCTTGTGTGCCCTCTTCTCGTCATTTTGTACTGCTACACTGCTATCTTAAAAATTGCTCAACAAAAACAAAAATACGTCGTACCGCAAATTTATATGTCATCATTTCCTTCGGCTAGCAAGGAAACTAATAAATACAGAAAGAACCGCAAGGCTGTAGCAACATTCCTAATGATTCTAACTGTATTTGTCGTGTGTTTTGTACCAAATGCAGTCTGCTCTGTGTTGTGTGTCATTCCATATCAAAAGTGTCCAGCATTTGCGCAAACTCTTGTGAATAAATGGGAGTGGTACATCTTTCTTCTTTTGGCCACCTCATTTGTTAATCCTTTGTTATATGGATTGCGTAATCGGCAATTCAGAACAGCATTTTTTAGTCTGGTTTCAAAGATTTAAGCCGACCCAACAGAGAAAACCGTTAAGAACAAGAAACAAAATGGAAAGATGGAACAAAGGAAAAACCGAAATAATAAAGGAAGAAACGAAGGAAATGATGAGAAAACCAAGAAGAAAACCAAAATGGTTGGCATGATYATTGTTTTTATCAATTCAAAATCTAAAACAAAAGAAGAAGGAATTAAGGAAGACACGAAGTGGCCAAAATAAAAATAATACAAAATCAAAAAGAGGAAGAGGAAGAAAACGGAAAGAACAGAAACCAAGCACAATACATAAGTCAAAAATGAAAGATGAGCAGATGGCTTGCGAATTTAAAATAAATAATAAACAGAAAATTGAGCGTAGTAATACTCCCCATTAGCCGTTCTTAGGGTTTAGGATTACTCAGCAGTTACTCAATTTTTGTCATTTGAATTTATAAACACATATTTAAGACTAACGTGACGAATAATAAAAAGGAAATTTTTGATTCATCTGCCCTAAAATTTAAAAATTGAGTATTGATTTCATTGCTGTAATTAATTCTTGGCGGGTGTGAATTCGGACTTTTAAAGTTTCTGAATAAAATTTCAGAGATTAATGCAAACTTGTTACTCGACAGTGCGAGATATCGAGGTAGGTTTCTTTAATCTTTCGTCGATTGCCAGGAATTTCTTATGCCATCTGGGCCAATTTAGACATTGTAATAGCTGTTGTATATTCATAAGCAAAAATTGCCACTATATGTCTGTCACTATAAGTCTGCTATAATTGCCTCTTTTTGGTTGGTAATATCGTAATAACAAGATGGAAAGTCAGGTCGTGCCAAAACCATGCAGAATTGACAACGAAGAAGCTCTTCTCTCTTCTATGGAAATGGGCATTTACATCGCCATTAGCTCTATTGGCAGTATTCTAGCAATCACTGGAAATGGGCTTGTGATACTCCTAGTATATAAGAAACGGTCACTACGCAATGCTTCCAACTTTTTTCTCTGCTCTCTTGCTGTTGCTGACMTTTGGGCTGGATTCGTACCAATCCCTATTGCTACGTCGGTGGTATGGCTTGATGTATCGTGTAATACTCTTACCAAACTAAATGATTTTTTGGGAGTGCACATTCTTGTTGTGACGGCACTGAACCTATCTGCCGTAAGCATCGATAGACTTATTGCTGTGAAATGGCCTTTGCGTTATCCCAGTATAATGAAAACTTCAACCACAAGACGAGCCTTGTTGGTTATATGGGTAACGTCCATAGTCTTCGCTATACCTACTACATGCGTTTGTTGTAATGACATGTTAATATATTGGCTTTTTATCTCAGTTTTAACGATTCTTATTCCCTTTCTTGTCATTCTGTACTGCTACAGTGCAATCTTAAAAATTTCTTCACAACAACAGCAGCGCATTATTCCAATAATACATCAACAAGCGCCTCATRATACCAGAAACGGCCGACACCTTGGAGTTAAAAAGAACCGCAAAGCAATGACAAGGTTCCTTGCAGTTATATCTTTATTAATATTAGCTTTACTCCCCAATCTTATCTGCGCGATACTGATCATGATTCCATTCAAGAATTGCCCTTCGGCTGTGCAGGCCATTCTGAATCACTGGGACTGGAGTGTGCTTTTCTTCAACTTAAGCCCATTTTTAAATCCCTGTATTTATGCATTGAGCAACAGGCAATATCGATCTGCTTTTAAGAACATCATCAAAAGGGAAAATGGATCAAATACAGTTCAAATGTTGCCACAAGCGCAGTGAAAATATGTTAATTCAGAAACCAATTGACTAACATTAAGCTGGAGTAAAGAGTCAAGTTTAAATTGACTTCCCATAACAAACAGCTGTTTACTGGACTCGTTCCATTTCGTTATAAAGCATGATTTAGCGAAGAAATGGTAATGTTAAGAACTATACCACAAAGAAAAAAAGAAAGCCTCACTCGTCAAATCAACTAAGACTGTACAAYAATGCAATAACAAGAGGCAAGAAAGAGACAAACAAAAATAGAAAAAAGCAGGAGGCGTACTAACTATATTCACGATACTCTAACTTAGGTTGCGCATCGTGGAATGATATATAGAAAAGAAAGATACGCAGTCAAGAAAGGAGAAAGCAAAAGACGCATGGTATTAAGACTATTCGTGAGACTCCTAACTTCAGGGAGTCCAATTCAAAACCGAATGTGGTGAGCAATCAGGAATTATATAGGCCAGAAAGATACATTCAAGAAAAGGAGCCTGAGAAAGCAAGATACGCAGGAATAAGAATATTCGTAAGACTTCTCACATGAGCCGGGAGTCGAACTTAAGACAGACCCTGGTGCGCATCCAGTAATGATATGTAGGCAATCCGAGAAAGAAACATGAAGGCCCGAGAAGAAAAGACAGAAAGGGAATGTATATGCATCGCCTGTAAAGTAAGCCATTATTCTTCCAGGATGGTTATAAAGCAGGCATCTTTCTTTCTAAACACTAGATTTTAAAAGGATCTCAGTCGCTAAGAATAAGAACCCGACAAAAGAGAACCCAACAAAACTATAGCATTGCTAAAGACGGGAGAGCGAAATATGGMTTCTATATAAGAGCCCTGGCTTCTGAAGTTGTAGCCTGGTGTGTAATAGCTTTAAGAAAAAGAATTAAATCAAAAACAATGCGAAACAAAACAAAACGAAAACCACAAAACAAAAATATTCAAGAAATAAATAACACGACGCTAAGCATTCCATTTACATTTCTTACTCATAAAAAACAGGAACACATTTATCAAAAAACATACCAATAATATTTATTCCTTGTAATATAATCAGTCATACATGCAATGATAATCTGTCTTGTTACTTATTACTATCATGTAGCTTGAAAATTAACATTAAATATAAAGCTCGTASCAATAGAAGTATTGTCAAATTGACTTACAGTAGCCCTCGTTATTTAATATTTATATTGATACCAAAAGGTTGAAAATATAGCCAATCAAAAAAGCTGTTGAATATTGGTCGGTTGGTCGGTATTCCACTGTATATTTTCAAAATGCTTCACTATTTTTGGGGTAAAATAGTTAACAGTAGCGGATCTAGGATTTTAAAAGGAGGGTACCAAAATGGCTGCCAGGCAGAAAGAGCTGGCACGATCGGCCGGCACATACGGTGGTTCCAATTTCATTTTACTAAGCATCAAAAACATGATAGGCTGCTCAAAGAGTTTCCAATTTCATTATAAGCATAAAGAACATGATCAGTGTAAAGAGCATGATCACACTCACAAGATCCCTCACTGAAGGGGAAGGGGGCRTTCAAATCGGTTTTACAAGATCTCACAAAGGGAACCACCCTGGATCCGCTACTGGTTAAATAGCTTTTTCGTTGCTTCTTCGTGCTCTTATTCGATTTTTTTTTACGTTTCCAATTTTCATTAATTATGAAAGAACGAAAAGTTAGCACAAAAACAAACTGCTATAGAGGCCAAGCTTCGTCGAATAGAACTTCCAGTCGTTTTCTAAATAACAGTCTGCGCTTCACTGAAATCATTATTATATACAGGCGCTATGATTGTGAAAAAATCTTACAAATTTACATCGTTTGTGTTTTACGGAATCATTGGTTCTATCGTTGTAGACCCACTGAAGCACTGAAGCGCGAGGGTTTCTGAAGTAGTTTAGATAAAGAGGTTTTAAAGCAACAACCCGACTACGATTTGACGTAYACATTTTTAAGGGAATTGACTTGAAATATGAAGATTCGGTGGAAGTCAGTTAAAGTTTTTTCTAGTTAAAATTTGTTGTGTGCTTGGTRAAAACGTTTGGGGAAATAGTCTGAAGTCGGAGACAAAAAATTTAAACTAGAAATAAAAAAATGAAAGCCGTTTCAGTGAGGTCTGAGTAATATGAACGATGACGTTCAATTWAAAAAAATCCACTTCACATGTTAAAGAGTTTGGCGCCAAATACGACATAATTGGAATCCGTTGACCCTCTCATTGGCTCTCTTCATTGATTGATGTATCATTAGCAAAATACATAGCGAATACAGCATAAAAATAATAAGTTACTTGTGAACATCTGGAATGAATGATCTTGTCATGAATTTGACTTAGTCTCCCAAAGTAATTTTCTTGCTCTAAAAGGGGTGAAATTATGTACCCTCGAGATCTTGTCATTTTCACGTATCCCGTTCCCGYGTTTGTCTTATGTGGTTTCTTCGATACAGATCTCGGTTCTTGGGCACATTTGTAAGTCAGTAGTTTGAATTGATAATTTGGTTGGATTCGGCCATTGTTGTTTAATATCTGTGCATCGGTGTTCTGTATCTTGTCTGAGTAGCTAAAAAAGGAAGAAAGGGAAAAAAAGGGGAAAAAAAGGAAAAATGAKATATTTTTCCATTTTTGGGATATTAAAAATTTCGTCAAAAAACGCTTTTTTATAAATAAGTTGTACACGTACGTTTTGGTAGCATCTCATCATCTTCATCGTCTTCATCATCAAGTAATCTTCTTTGCTTTCCTATTTTATTTCTATATAAGAAAAACACACACACACACAAAAAAAAACAATGGGACAAGGTTAAGAAAATTCATTTAAAAAAATAAAAATAAAAAAGAGAGAGAGAGAGAGAGACAAGGAACCTTACTTTTTTGTGCATATACAAACACCCCATATAACGCCTCCTATAACAGCTGCAAATGCTAATGAACCAACGATTATGTATACGATCATCCAGTCTGGTAAATGAAATAAAATATTATTCAGTAAAATTACAGACCTGCCCTACTAATCATCTTTTAGGCACCAATATGCGGTACAACTGCTGTGCGGAACCAATTACGGCCTTTTTAATCTTGAAATGRGGGCTTATCCTAGGCAGGGAATTGAGCGCTTGTGTCAGCTTCTGTAAAGGTTGCGCGCATCTGTCGCCAGCAAAGGCGTAGAAATAAAATCGAGATCTACTTTCACGATACTGCGCAACACATTTGATAGTCGGAATATGTATGCAATGGGATTGCTGGAAATTGCTCGAATGCCTAAACCAATCAAATAACAATTTGTTACCTGTGGCACTTCTTAAAAAAATGCTGCTGGCATAGCTCCATGCAACAATTGCACCCTCATCTTTAAGAATCACGGATTGCAAGGATGTGCAGTTCTAACTCATCGGGGGCATTTGATATTTTTGAAAGAAAGTTTTTCACAGGACAAATTTTTTTTAAATACATTCAGGGGAGAAGGAAGGGGGGAGGATGTCCAGATCTCATATCTAATATTGCCCTGCCTTGGGTACGCCTTCATTTCAAGATTTTTTCCTAGCASAATAATGAGGATGATCATCTTACTTTATATAAGATATTGAGACTATTAAATTATATACCTCTTTCTTTTACTTTGCCCCTGTGTCGATCCATATAAGCAAGCTTTACATTCATGCCTATATCAGCTTCATGGGCATTTGTTTGGCACATTACACCATCATTACACTGAACTGCAAAACACTTGTCGTTTTCTAAATAGGCAATATCGCAGGATGGTCGTACACAACAGAGGGCGATGCATTTCTTTAAGCTCTGTACCTGTTAGTAACGCAAAATACCAAGTATTAATATAATTATATTACTAGTTAAAGATCTGAAGAAAAATAAAAGATAATCACTTATGATAATGCTTAGATTTATCTAGGAATGATCCATCCAYACGGTGTAGGCGAAGTAAAAAGTCAACACGTTGCATTCACATGCATTGATCGATGTGCACTCATTCCTATTTTACTTATTTTAGTTTATTCGAGGAGTGGTTTCATCTTGTRACAATGATTCTCTCACAAGTAGCCCATAGTGTCAGCTACAGTATAACTATTTGCAAAGGTCTCAAAGTACCTGTCCCATTGAGGTAAAATTGCTTCCGCGATTTCCATTTCTCAAAGTTATTCCAGTAGAAATTCGGTTGCTACGGCAGCGGTCTTTGCTAGCTTGGAGGTTTGTAACCTCATCTGAGACAGAGCTCTTTGGGCTATCCACATCTGCTGCCAAGTCTTGAGAAATTAAGAGAATGATAAATTGCATTACATTTACAAAACATAACAATTGTAGTATAATGTAGTGCATTTATGGGATTCAGATCAAAATTGGTGCCAACCCCAACCTGTTAGGAATGCAGGGTTTTTCTTCTAGATTTACAGGTTTTCCACTTTTTGATCATTTTCATTCGATTTACCCGTTTTCATTTGTTCTGGACTGCAAAGACGTGCTTTCCACTGTCCTAACTTCCACCCCCAGAATTTTCCAATTTTCCAATGTTAGTCTTTAAGAATTTAGATTTCTCAACCAAAAAAAATTCGATGAATTCGATGGGTCTCGAGTACTTCATACCAAAAGAAGGAGAAAACTTCGGAAAAGCAAATAATGGCGTGTATCTAGGTTTATTACCTGTGACTTCTTCTTTTTCTTCTTTGGGCTTTGTCAGCATTGCCGATATCAAAGGTATCTTATTTTTAGGTTTTCCTTTAACATCGACAGGTATACATGCTCCTTTGTTCGTACAGGTCACCGAATAGCACTTGTTATCAACATAATAGGCAACATCGCAATTTTTGGACTGGCAGCACCTTGCCATACATTTTGGCATATCAGTAGCATCCTGTTGCAGAGTGTAGTTGTTGCTGGTAATTTCACCTTTAAATGTCTTGTCATTAGTAATATTACTGGCTCGACAACGTAAGTTATTTGGGGCCTTCGGAATAACTGGTAGTTCTGCCATTTCTGAAAATAAGTAGAGAAAACGAAAAAAATAGGATTCAATTCTCCTCAATCTAGTTCCTTCTGTGAGGTCGAAGTTAAATGCGCAATTATTCACTAATAAACTAAACGTAAGGTTGTCTCTGATTTCAAATTTTCTAAAACATTGGACGTTTCGGTTTCAAAACTGAAACCTTCATCAGCACGAAGAACTGAAATAATGATGTCCAATAATTGAAGTCCTTGGCGTCAGCCCTACGTGCCACCCAGGCAGAGAGGATAATGATGAATAATATCATGGTGTATTTTTTTTAAAACGCATGTTAGGTACACCATGAAGTCCTTAGTATGTGGTACAATTTGGTGTTCAGTTAAATTTTACAAAGAGTATCCAAACATAGGTAAAGCCATTCGCRATCTTTCTACTTGTACCTTCTAGATCTTTCCACGAATATATACGAGTTTAAAAATCAACAATAGTATAGACAAAKATTTCATAAACTGTTACTTACCCTTAATAGAATCTTTTAGTGGCCTGACATAGGATATCCTTGGTCTGAAGTCAGATGGTGGTGCTGGTGTATGATCACAAACGTCCTTGTCCTTGCATGCCACAGTATAACATGTCTTCTCAAGCATGAAGGCTAAATTACAGCTATCATCCTTGCAGCACAATTTCTTGCAAGCTTTCATGTTCTTAACATCACCRTGGTCTTTAAATTTCCCCGCTTTTTTGCCACCTTTTAGCGTGACATCAGTGATAATTTTGGCAGCCATGCACTTATTGTCTTCGCTGCTTTGATCTCCACCAAGAATTGCATCAAAGGCCCCGGCAGAAGAGCCACTGCTGTTCGTTTTTGATTCATYAGAACCAGAGTTATGGTCTTTCGAAGAATCAACTGGTGTAAGCTGTAACTTGCCATGGACTATGTTCATTTGCATAGCTTGCCCTGGCTGAGCATCAGTGATAGTAGATGTTAGATTAACAGTTTTTAGAAGGTCTTCTGGTGTTGTTTTTTTGGCCTCCGGACTTTCCATGATGCCGGTTTTCTTTTCTGTATTTTTATCAGGTTTTTTGAAAGGCAATCCTATKGTGAAACAATGATAATTATTGTCATTTAGTATACAGTATACAACATGTGTATTTAGAATTATTCTACCATACAAATCCTACCTTGTCCTGGTTGCATTGTTTCTTTTGGTTGAGGAGACATCATGCCAAGAGCTTGACTTGGAGATAGGTGATTCGGTAGTMCTGGTGATGACGGCATTATTGGRCTACCAGGCACGCTAGACTGCTGTGGGAGAAGTGGATTTTGCATGTCAAGTGGTGATTTGCCAAACATTGATTCCTGCACTTGACTTGGCTGTGGTTTCAGGGGTTGACCAGGAAGAYCTTGAGGCGGAAGCTTTGGTTGGCCAGGCARCGATARCAGGTTGGAGCCTTGAACTGGTTCGGCCTGTGGCTTGTTTAGACCAGATGGAAGTTCAGGTGGCTGCCCAGGTAAGCYRGGTAACCCTGGTATCCCAGAAGGCGAAGGATTTCCAGGAAGTTTGGGATTTGCCGATGCCTGSTGATCGTTTGCYRGACCAAGAGAAGGCATTCCTRGTAGTTTGGAATTGCTAGATGCCTGCTGATTATTTGTTASACCAAGAGAAGGCATTCCTGGTAAACTGGGTGTTCCAGGTAGACCAGGTATTGAAGGTCGTGGTTGCTGAACGGGCTTCCCTGGTRCCGCAATCGAACCTTTGTTTATTGCAGGTACAGCTGGAGGAATTAAGGGTTTAGCTGCCAACGTGGCCTCGTCAGAGCTCATGAATTTCGTTGATCCAAATGCTCTCACAAATGAGATATGAGGAGAAAATTTCGAAGGCCGAGCCTTTTGCGTTTTACAAAGTGCTGCATTCTTACATTCCACAGAGAAGCAGTTGGAACTGAGCATAAATGCAAGATTGCACTTAGGCATCTCACAGCAAATGCGCTGGCACTGTTGCATATCTTGAACCTTGCCATTATCATGGAAATTACCAGCTCCTAGTCCTCCTACTAAGGTGACTTCTTCTATGATTTTGGCCTTTGGACAGGCAGGAGCTGGTTTAGTTATTTCGCTTTTCTTTGCCGATGAATCTAGAACAAAATTATCATATTAGTCGAGGATTTCGCATAGCCGACTAYTACTCGGTACCTGCAATAAAATTGTACGTAGTCCAAGTTCAGAGAGTCCAGTCCGGGGAGACACTGATTTCAYTCCTTGGAGATGGAATTATTTCCGTTATTCTGATTCCGGTTCCAGAACAAAATATTTCTTGGATTCCTCATTCCCCTCCCAATAGGGAGAAAAAAATGTAGTAAATACCTTTTACTTTGGGAGCCATCTCCTTTCTGTTCCACACATAGGCTATTTGTGGATTGTAGATCGATGGCTGSGCAGGGATGGTAGAGCATAAGTCTTTGTTGTAGCACTTCACAGAGAAGCAGTTCTGGCCCAGCATAAAGGCTAAGTTGCACGTAGGCTGTTTACAACACAAGTCATAACATTCTCCTATATTACCAACCTGTTAATTGAAAGTATTATYAAAAATCATCAGTGTTGAATTTCTTGGGAACATACCCGTTTCTCTAGAAAGGCATGATCGATAGAGACTCTTTGGTAGTGTTACAGTGCTATCACACGCGCGAAATCGCCAATTTGCAGTCRCAACAAAATATGATGTTGGTGGACGTCAATCAATGTATTGCAATGACATTGTCTGAAACCAACCATTTTTTAAGGGCACGTTCCTATSAAATGKCATGCAAATTCCTTAATKGACATTCACCAAAACCTACTTCGTTKCGACGATTCAGCGCGTACTATTGAAAAAGATAGCAAGCTAAATGAAAGCCTTTTTTTTCGAAAAGGGAAATTTTTAAAATGTTTACTTAGATTATCCTATAACAAAAGTATGCTTAAGTTAAGTTGAAATAAAATAGCTTTCGTACCTTTCCCGTGTCGGTAAAATCACCAGCCTTTAGGCCACCTTTCAGTGTAACCTTTGTCATCAGCTTCATTGGGCTGCACATAAAATTAGACGATGCGTCCTCGTTTATATTTACTGCAAAGGAAATTTATAGTCTAAAACCAATATTAACTATAATATGCAATCGTGAGTTCATCAGTTCAGTTCTTATACGATGAGGTAAAGAAGCATTTAAKTTTATTACAAACTGCGTGTGCGAATAGAATAGAATAACATTGACCATGCACTTTCGAAAGAAGGCGGAAGTGGAGAAGATAGGCTTATTTTGTCCCTAAGTTCCCAAATTCGCTTAGCTGTTATTACAGTTGAGCCCGCAATGAGATTTTTTTGTTTTAAGAATCATACAAGCCAGAGGCTATCTGGTAAATACAATGCGTAGTGTCTCATTTGCATCTCATTTGTATGCATCCATAATATCTGCTATTCGTTTCGCTGCTACACAGGTTTAGTAGCACACGTGATAKCGTGGATTTAACTTACTTGTATGTTTAACACCTTCGTTGTTCCAACGAGTCACATACACGACAGAAGGGTGGTAGGGTGAAGACTTGGCCTTCTGCARTTGGCAATTTTTCCCATCGGTGCAGCCCACAAGATAGCAACGATTTTGTAAAACGAATGATAAATCACATGGTGCAAAGCTACAGCACTTTTTAGCGCACTCATCAACTGAAGCAACCGCTCCAATATCCTTGTAGGTTCCCGCGTTGATTCCTCCTTTCAATGTGACCTCTTTATGTACTTTGCCTGGTTTGCACTGGCCTGCCATACCAGGGTTTATATTTACAGGTGCCTGGGGTGWTTTGCTTGTCTGCTTACCAGAAGCAGAGAGTTGCGGGCTCGTAGATGCAAGATTAGGCGCCTGCATGCCACTTGATACGAGTCCTTTTGCCATAGCGTTTGAAGCTAATGGTTTAGTAGACGATAGGCTTCCTGCTAAGGAGGCTTTGGTCGCTAAAGTATGATGTGTTGGGATTCCAGCAAGTGCGAAGGAATTATTCCCTATGAAAAATATAATAATGTCATTTTCTTATATATCGGGGTTATTGCTTYCATGGTTCGTATGGCTGTGAAAACTCACAAAACGTCGTGCTGTAATCGCAAAGACACCATGCCTAAGCTTTTTCATTGATTAAGCATTAATCTCGTTTGGGGTAGCGTATTAAACCAATGTCTTCAGTTCAGTTTAGCGTGTGCTGTAACTTTTCACAACCATAGATATCTCAAAAACTGTCGAATATGCTCAGAAATGCACTTTAGTTGMTTTTTAGATTCAGCAATAACTTAATTGCAATGCCTTTATCTTCGTCAGATTAAATTAAGAAACAAAGGTATTTATTYTAGATCGTCAGAACTTAATATTAACATTAATTAGTTAACAGTTATTTCAGTTACATATCTTCGTTAAGAGTTACTAATAAGCCCCTCTAAAAAAGTACTTTCTAAACAATGTYCAAATAATTTACGACAATTCCTGATACCTCAGAAAGTCATGCTAGATGTTGCTRGTTGAAAATAAATAGGAATTTTCCATCGACTGAAACATGGGCAACATATATTTATTTATGAAAATCGCTGGCAGAAGTAAGGCCAAGAAAGTGAAAGAGGTATTCTTTTAGAGGGAGGCTTTTACCTTACTATTTGAATTGAGACTAAAGAGCATAGTTTAGTTATTAACATGCCTAGTCGATTTTAGGAGCTTATCGCAGCTGCATTCTAGAGCCAGTTACTTCGCGCATTGCTCAAGCAATAAGGACATTGTTCTTAGATATATGATTTAKTTGRACTRGGAATACAGGAATACACAATGCTGATTGACACTAGAATGTCTATCTTTTGYATCCATTGATAGCATTCGCTGTTTRCTCTTGKAAAAACAAATTGAATAAGATAGTTCATGTAACGGCACTATGACATGCTTTATAMGTTTATCAGACATAGTTTTCCKCGCCAAATGTAACAGAATTTAATGATATTTTATTTCATTTCAACTAAATGTTCCTATTAACCTTATCATTCGAGATTTTAAGGAAGAAGAAAAAAAAGGTTTGATGACCTTTTTGTAAAATTTGGACACTGAAAAAACAGCATGTCTGGTATCCGGCAAGAGAACATTCATTTGTTTTCGTAGCCATAGCGACAGCGAATTGTGGTAACCTGCCGAAAACCGGTTTACTTACCAAGCAACAGGTTGGGCAAAGATGATTGTGATCAATCATTTATGTTCTGCTAGCTTGTTTTTAAACCGTTCTTCGCTCCGCTGAAAACTCCACAGAGCGAAAAATATATTCAGCTGAAAAACCGCTAYTATGATCTACTGAGATACCAAAGTTATCGACTCAGAAATAAACTGTATATATCAAGATTTAAATGAATTAAGTGTTTTTGAATCCACAGCTCATGTTATTAGATTCGCCACGTGTTATGTATCAAATGCCAACACAACTCAAAATATCATTGGAAAAAGATCTCCGTAAAAATAACATATTACGCCTTTCAAATCCGAATCCAAGATCACCCTGCCTCTCTTATCTTTCTGCCAGCGATTTCGTATACTGATTTGAAAATAAGTTGTGTTCGACTAACCTTTGTTTTTACCAGTTCTTACGTGGGCAATTAGAACTTTGGTTTCCGAAGTATCCGTCGCTGTTGATTCGCATTCATCATCACTAACACATTCCACCGCGTAGCATTTTAAGCCGGACATAAATGCTACATCACAAGAGGGGTTCTTACAGCACAGCTCAACACAAGACGCCATGCTAGTAACTTTTGCAAGCTTTTTAAATGTTCCTGCTCCGATACCTCCTCGCAATGTCACATTCTCTTCGACTTTAGTGTTCTTACATGTTTGTAGGTTATTAGACGTGGTCACTAAATTTCACACGATAGATAAAGAAATAACGCATTACAACTTTTATTCTAACTTTCATTARCTATGATTAAAAGCTATGATTAACTAGAATGTCATAAGAATGTTATAGGAAATAATCCACATACCTCCAAAGTGAAGTCCAAAAACGAACAATGTAAGACAAAGAAGCATCTTSACTCCCAGTTTTGGTTGGCGACACCTTCAATTTTTTGTACCAATTTTCATGTCATTTCCATTTGTTTCTAGACAAAAAAWTAAAAGAAAGCGAGGCGGAACCTTATTTCGCAATCTCTTCTTTTAAATATCGATTAAAACTTTTTCCATAATAATCTCTTGAGGAAAATTTAAGTCTCGGTAAATAATTTTCTTCGACGAAAATAGAGAACAATGGAGAAATTACATCATAGGGGGCTCAGGTGGATTAGCCAATGAGGTTTGTTTTTTTTGACATGTGATWAGCGGCAGGGAAGATCGATCAAGAATTTTAGTGATCGTGTGTCAGACGTCACGGTTCACTTGCCCTAGCGTCATGGGTGAAGAATTTCTGAAGACRATAGGTTGTTGCAGGAACGGGTACCAAAATGCTACCAGTTGAAAATTAGAAATAAAACAATGTGAAGTACTYTGTCATATATTAAGCAAACATCTTTTTTTTCTAGAAATGATCAAATATCTTTTTCCTTTGGAAAACATCACTCAAGTGAAACAACCATTTGATTTTGCAAGGTACAATACAAATGTGCAGCCAGATGGCGCAACTTTTTTACTTGGATTCACACAATCGAACATTCAACACCATCGCGCACTTAATAAAATAAACTCCTTACTGCAATCACTATAACCTGTGAATGTAGTACATATATAAAGTAGATTTGTTGTGACAGACGCTAATAGGATGCGATAAGATGTTTATAATCTTTAATACCAAACAAACGTCAGGCCGGACTGAGATTGACCAACGCGAAGGCTTCCTCTGAATTGTGTGTCAGATCATTTCATTCCCTTTCAGTTTCATACTTTTATACCCAATATTGCCACCACGTTACGATCTTAAGCATATTAGAGCWAAGTCATTTCTCTAAGTGGACTAGCTGACCTTTTATGCGTCGTTGATATATGTATGGTCTCATTTGATCCATCCTGACAAGAATTAGGCCCAGGGTTGCATTTATAATTTTACCGACTGAAATAGAAAGAAAAAAGTCTTAAAACCTTTTCACTCAAATTATGTCCAACGAAACAAGTTACGTCTTATCATAAGTACGATAGCAGCTTTTCCCCCTTATCATTCTCGTTAGGAAGTTTCTCCGCGATGATGGCAAAAATAAATAAAAGCACTGAAATTGCGAAGATGTCGTCTAAACTGTAATTCAGTTTTAATTTCATGGGATTGTATGAGAAGATAATCCAGGTCTATGTATAGTGCCTAGCATGGGACAAAAAGTCCCGTTCGCGCTCCCACTTTTAAGTAGGTCTTTCACATTTTTTAAAATTAGGTATACATGAACCTTAGATATAGCTATTAGCCAATAAGGTTGTAAAATAAGGGGAGGGGGGGGGAGGTGGAGAAGTAGATGACTACGTACAATGCTTTACACATTTGTAAGGAACTGAAAAAAAAATTACAACTAAAAGCGCTGATTTCAAATTTCGCGCGCACTGTCTTAACCGCTCGTACCCAGGCTAGCGTTCTTAAAGTATTGTCTACTTCCGCTGACGTAATTAAGACAACCCATTTCATAGGAGCCTAACTTAGCAACACAACCGACTGGTTTATTCCTTTCCAACCAGAGTGGACTACTCAAGAGGTTCGTCGTCTAATCGGCTGTGACATCACACAGTTGTTTCGACTTTTTGTCAACCACATTAAAACTAAATGTTTATATATRTGTGACCATCGGTATTTCGAGTATAGATTGTGCCCATAGTACTACCAGTGATGTGATGCATTCTTTCATACGTATGAAATAGCATATTATATTAAGATAATCAAATTCAAAAATTCATTTTTAAACGTCTGGGCCTAGTTGTTCGAAGGGTGGAATGYACTATCCGTCGGAGATATCTTATTCCCTGGTACATTTATTGGTTACAAATCGCTTTATTCACTGGATAAGGATTTATCCGTCGGATAGTGCTATCCAACCTTCGTACTACCGCACCCTGATTGTCATGTTAACCAAGAGAATTCAGYCTTTGAAGACGGGACAAGCTAAGATCATAACTTTATTGGGTAGCCGTCATTAAAGTTCATAACTTCCTAAGCATTTTTATTGGCCGGCATGGACTTCAGAAATTCGATTGTTATTCATATATTTTACTCTTATATACGCTTATTGATGTTGACTCTAAGAAGACCAACCTGTTTTGGACAACTTTGACCTTTGCCRTGCTTCCTTCTGCAAGGCAATGTTGAATCTGCCTCCTCTGCTGAAAAMTATTGAGTAATAAGCTATCGCTACATCACCGCAGCAAAGTATTAATAGCTTTGAAAGACGTTGTCACTTATGTGTTTCAAAKCTGATGCCAGTTTTGATGGACTTTTTCGGGCCACCTCAAAGAGAACCGACTTCACATTTCTCGCATTGATTGTCAGATTGAATCCTTCAAGTTTCTTCAATAAAACAATTGTCCTTTTTAAATGAGCCAACTTGTTGGCATGCTCTAGGTTATCATTTATTATTGGGCCTAACGTTGCTATGGACTGCTAAGCTTTGAGAGGAGTTAGTACATGGATTCAGTTTTTTCCCCGCTTTCCAGGTAACCCGAACATTTCGAGTTTTGATAAAAGATTGGAATGTTTTTAAATTGCCTTATTTGCTCAAYCATATTATTTTTATTCGATGTGCCAAATTTCATGTGAGTTATTGGAGCGTTGAGATCAAGGCGCTCAAGCATTTAATGTGCACCAGCAGARCTCTCACTTCTGAGGCAAATGGCAGGTGTTCTGTCAGAACAAAACACGGGAAAAAAAACAGCGATAAAGATCAAAAGATCAAATGATCAAGAGAAACGCTCGGGGTAGTAGACGGGTTCCCTACAAAAGCAAAACCCGGCTAAGGATGCTATATGACCTCCATTTTAAAGTAAATAAACGTATAAAGTATCAAAAAAAAAAAAAAAAATCGATGCCTACAAAAGAATAGCTGGAAATGTAAACTCCCTAAGCTTAGGGATTAAGTAAAAGGAATCCAGTTATTGTTTCTCCGTCACTTCTCAAAGCCAAAGCCAAATCTCAAATAACTCCGAACGTGGTCATTGTTAAAGAAAAAGAAGAAACATGTTGCCATTAACTTTCTAGGAATCCTTTCAGTGATCTTCTTAAAAAAACATATGATTAGAAATTAAGAACATTTGGGTTGAGATGTCTTCAATGTTTCATTGCCCAAAGTTAAACCACACGGCCTGAAATGGTCAAATTTAAATTGTTATTTGTGCTTTTGAGCGCATGAAAAATCATCTTGCTTGATTACGTTCCCCGAGCGATAGCCAGGAACGTGCTCATGAATGCACTTTAAGTACGTTTGCTAGGTCACGCGGATAATYTGGTTTACCAGGCTCAAATTTTACACTGCTCATAGCATTATGACGATAGTAAATCTTTGGAAAGTAGCTAGGTACAAACGATTTTGAATTTTCTTTGCCGTATTATGTGGGACGACAATAATGTAAGGGAAATAGAGGATATGCCAGTCTTAATGTYTGGGGTACGTACTTAGTCGAATAGGTCAACCGTTGATGCGAGTGCATACTCACAGCAAATATATGATTTTCTCTCATCAAGAATCAAAAGTAGCAAGCGATAGCCTTCTTCTGATTTAAAAATCAATATATAAAGCATATGGCAGAACTGCACAAAAAGMCTTGACAGGGGCAGAGTGAATGCATCGTGGTGTGGAAACAGAACAATACTACGAGAGGTTTATTGCCCCATTTTGTGGTCAGAAAGTCATTGACCAATAGGATTTGACACTGACCAAGAGCAGTCAAGTTTTCATAGATTCTTTAACGTCTTTGGATCCCTTATTTTCGCGCTTCGCCACATCAGCCACAAAAAATGTGTCGCGTGTGATGCTTCACAATCTATGCATGCCTTCACTGCCTTGCATCACTGAACCGAACGCCTTTTTTAATAACCAACTCTGGTGAAAAACAGTCAAAATATTATGAGCTTGATAARATTCAATCCTAGATAACTTAATTTTCGTTAGGTAAACGTGAGCGTACCGCTATAGCTTGTTGCCGAATATTTATCTTTTTTCTTTACCACCTTTTTTTCTCACATTTTGCCAGATTTCTGCTGGTAGATTTCAGGTTTGGCGGCGTTGTTGATCAACCAATCAAGCATCTCCAAGGACAATAGCCTTTGTTTTCTACCATCCTACYAACTTGTACGCTTAGCCACAAGAACAAGCCACCAGGACCACCCTAAGAAATTTCATAACTTCACTCCCAGTTTCCTTGTAGATATTTCTCAAAATATATGCGTAATTTGCCGGTCAATGTCACACATTCTTTTATTTTTCACATCTTTTTCAAATCTTCCTTGACATTCCACGTGGTTTACTCAAAATAAATATATATAGAGGATATTACATGGGCGCTTCTTGGAGATACGAATTTTATCTTCGAGTGTTGAAAAGATCTCTCACAAGTGAGCGCAGCGAACGAGTGAGAGATTTTCAACACGAGAAGATAAAATTCGTATCTCCAAGAAGCGCCCATGTAATATTCTGTTTATTATATAATTATCAATGAAGTATGTTTTGGCTTTTTCAGGCAATTCTTTCCGTGTATTTTTGAATAGCCATCGCTATGGTGTTATTTTCACACGTGAAAATAACATGTTATTTTCACGTGTGAAGATATCAATTTTTCGAAATAGAGAAAAATAGATATTTCATTGGTAATTATATAATAAATGTATATATTTTTTTGATAATGCGCTTTACGCGATGAAACTATATTAGCATGGCTAAGCAGTCCATTGATGTGCATAGGTACCTAAGAAAACTCGTGAGAAAAACTTTATTTAAGGCAGACATATGGAATACAGACRTTTGGAAATGTAGAAGAAATAAGACATCGAAAATGTTGATAAAATTGGCTTGTCAAAATATTAAGAAAGAAAGAAAGCGAAACAGATAAGGACAGAGAGAAAATAAAAGAGAGAGACTTTAGAGTTGGTAGTAAAATAGGTTGACACTTGTGCAGACTTTAATTTARCTTTTTGCAAAATTGACCGATTCATTTCACGAGTTTCTTTTTTATTCGTGTTTTATTCTTTGCTTCTTTGCCGATCCCTTGACATACAAGTTATTTAACTTTTGTAATCATATTTTGACACGAGAATTTATGTTTCTTTGTGTATTGAGATTCTCTCTTCGACACTTCTTGCCTTAATGTTTGAATGTTCGGTACAGGTGGACAGCGGGTATCAAGGCTTGATCTTTCTTGTAACCACCTATGGCTCAACAAACGTTTAAGCCACCAAAGCACAAAAATATTGCAACCATGATTTTTAGACACCGACTWAAACATGTTGCCAACAATACTTAGATTTCAAAAACAATATATATTTTTACAACGTAGCTGTTCTGTTGTRGCGGAAGCTAGATGGTAGAGAGAACTCATTGTTTTTGGTCACCAGTTTGCCAAATTTAAGAGCAAGGCTGATTAATATTAGATGTTCCGGATATCGGGTCTTTCAGGACGATCAGTGGCGCGTATAGGCTCACAGTGCACTAAAATATTGGGTAGTCAAGCTTTAATTCACTTACAGACTTTATTGAGAACTTGAAGACGGTTAAAAGAGGAATGGAAAGTTGTAAATAATAATACTAAAGGGAACAGATTGAAAGGAAAGGAGGAYAGGGCAGTGTTAAAAGAGATGTTCTAGGTAAGTAAAAACGTGGCTAATATATTTATAATCAATATTCTTGAAGYTGCCGGCTTACAGCGCCCTTCAAATCTTCCCCAAAACGTTCATGTTTGAAAACCAAAATAAATCAAGGGAATTAAAATATTCGACCAACATTTTGATTTTAAAATTATCAATTTTTGGCGTAAGAATGAATTAAATTCAAAATTTTCACTTGTCGGGGATATGCTACAGGGACCAGCTCTTTCCTTGTGATCCAAGTTGTAAGCCACTACATTTGTCAAAATTTTAGTTCAGAAAAAAATCCTTTAGAAATGGATATTTTTCGAGACGAATTTTGTTCATATTTTTGCTTTTGCTTTCTTACTTCAGTATCCCAGCTATATATTTTTTCCTTTTCTGTTAATTTCTAGTGTTGTTTTTTTCTTTTTCCAAAAATGAAAACAGTTCGGCTTTCTTTACCAAGCGAATTGATATCAAACGTTTTCAATAACAAGAAGAGAAAAAAAAGTACAATACAACCTTTGTTAAAAAAAGATAGAAAAACTGGAAAATTATTGTTTTTAAACATTTAAATTAAATAGCATTTCATTTGTGACCCTTTTTCTTCTTTAATATTTGGGTCAAATAAAACGGTCAAAAATCAAAGATGGTTGACTCCACAATACGAATAAAACACATGAAGTATGGTACAAATTCGGAATGCTTAGGTGTTCATGCCATTTTTGTATTTTCTTAAAATTATGTATCATGGTTTACCTATGTTTTAAGAATCTTTGAAAACTTTCCAGTGTGAAATACGTTTTCCTTATATTTCAGATTCGGCTAGACCCAACTGAGAAATTAAATTTAAGGTAAGCTTAACCAATGCGTTATTACTATATTATAAAACAGTAGAAATAWATCGTGCTCTTTTTTATCAAATATAAAAGATTATTTCAAAATATATCAAGTATTTTGTATAATGACACCAGTAGAATAATAACTTGTTCTTTTGATCTTTTGCTTTCTTGGCCGTACTTTAGTTGTTTTGTTACCTCCGCAAACAGTTYCGCAACAATTAAAAAAAAGTGTCTATTCTTTTAACGCTATTTTCCTTTCATTTATTCTTATTGTTTTTTTCTAATGTTGACCTGTGGAATTTTAAGYTTGTGATGTCCCTCGTGATATAGTACGATTGAAATTTTCAAATGCTATTTATAGGCATTTAGATTAATAATATTTTGACATTAATTTTATTGAAATACATCTCTAATTAACGTTTTTCTTTTTAATGATTATTAATAGAAAAATAATAATAAATCGATGATAAAAATATATATTAAAATGAGAAATAATGATTTTTTTTGACATTCTTACATTACGAGGTACTTTTTAAAGCGTTTTGTTTTGTTTCGTTTTTTAAATGTTCCTAAGTTAATTTCACCGGAAATTTCTTTAAGGAAATATACTTCTTATAGCACTGCTACCACTTTCCGCATCAATTTTTTTTTTCGTTGGGCAAACAGGAGACATGATCACGTTTTCATCGATTCAAAGTTTTCGAGGACCGATTTGACAGCCGCCCTGGCCTAGGCCTGCTATCAAATTATAGAATCCACTTCAGAAGAATTGCATAMATTTCTTTCCTTGATAGTAGTAATATATAATGAGAAAATATCCACTTTAAATTCTAAAGCGTGAGTTAGAATTAAATTTTTATTTTAAGAACAACAGGATATAGGATTGTRTCGATAAAGGAAATTTAGTACAGGAGGACACAGGCATAGGCTTTAACTCTTAACCTAACTCATGGGTCTTATGTAATCTATCTAATAAATTTATAGTCTATATAATCAGTCTATATTAGATTTATTAGCCTAAAAACAATGACCAATTTCATTTGCCTAGTGAGACTATGCTTAAAGACAACGCCCATATGAAAGCTAAACTGCTGAACTAAACAAAGTGGACTCAAATTTATTGTTAAACAAAATGGTMGCCCCATTTTGAAGACAATTTGAAATCATTTTAACTAGAAATAAATAAAGAATKTGTTTACATTTTTGTTAATCCGTCGGGATTTGCATAATATATTACCCTTTACTTTCCAGAAGGTAGTTATGTAGTTCACTCCCAGCACAAAAATTTAAAACTAACTTAATAAAAATACAAAATTACGAAGCAAAGCAAAGATGATAAATAAATTTTAAAAAATCTTATGATAAAGTTCATAATGAACTCATAACTGAACTTATCGGTATTATAATAAAAAAGCTGTTTTCTAATGACAAGAATAATGAATAATTCATGAACATAGATATATRATATWTTTTWTWAKWWAT